TTCAGAACGAATTGTCGTATTGGATAACTCGCGTGGAGGACATAATGGTCCAGTCAAGGGACTAAGCTGGGATCCGATAGGGAAGTATCTGGCTACGCAATCAGCTGATAAGGTATCTTCACAGCTCGTGTTCAGCATCAAAAAGTTGAAAAGTTGCATGTTTATATTCCAGTCTCTTCGATTATGGACGACAGATAACTGGCAATGTGATACCGTAATTACGAAGCCGTTCAGCCAGGTAGACATCACAGTATCTCAATGCAACTTGTCCAACATTAATCTTGAACTATTTCGCAAAGCAAATAGCTCATTTATTCAATCCATGCAACTTCAGAGCAGCCAAACAACTATGTTTTCACGCTTGGATTGGTCTCCCGATGGACAGTTTCTATTTGCACCTTGCGCTATGAACAACCAAGGGCCTACGGCGCAAATCATCATGCGAAAAGATTGGGACACCGAACTTGACCTCGTCGGCCATCGGAGGGTAAGTTCTGCTTGACCATATCATTATTTGACGGTTCGATTTTCCAGGCGGTGACTGCAATCCGGGTATGTCCACGGCTGCTGTCGTACGTGGATTATGCAGGAAAAACGATACAGGTGATAATCACAAATATATCTCAAGGTGTCGTATCCAGTAGAGCAGTGTTTGTATACCGCGATCTGTTGAGAAATTTGGGGAAAGCTGTTTCTTATTGCACTATCACGTATACAGTCTCCTCTGTAACTGTCGTGTGACTGTATACAGACCTTGCACAGCGACAAACTCAGCGCTGTACTTTAGGTCACATGCGTTGCAATCGGTTCGCGTGACAAATCTTTGTCAGTATGGGTGTTGCCGCGGGTGAAACGACCTGTTGTTGTACTTCAACGCCTCTTCAAGCACTCGGTTACGGATTTATCGTGGCGTGGCACCGATTTGGTCGTGTCATCCCAAGATGGCTCCATAAAATATCTATCATTTCGAGAAAAGGAGCTTGGAACGATGCTGTCTCCACAGAAAATGGTGATTCTGCTGTAACCGTATCATAAAATTTTTTGATGATTAAGCGTTATAGGGAAATGTTTGCGAGTCACTGTACAAGATCCGACCTGCTCAGTACTGTAACTATAGTAATGGGAATGCAGTAGACGCTCCATCAAAATCAAATAGTTCCTTCATTGACTCACCTGAAGAGCTCTTGGCGAAAAGGAAGGTCTGCAATATCTCAAATACTTTAACTAAAAATATTTCTGAGAATCCGTTTAGGCCGAAGCAGCCGTATCAAAGGAGCCAGCTAAACCTACCGAACCTACCGCGTCGCAAGCTAAGACGACTACGCAGAATGCTGCATCCAAAGTACTTTCCGAGCAGCGACAGCAGCAAGTGGAGGTGAAGAGACAAAATTTGTTGCCTTTTAAAATAAGCACCTAGTTGCAATCATCTATAGGTTCGCACATCAGATGGTAAACGCCGCATCCAGCCAATTTTCCTGGGATCTACAGTCGACGAAGAACCTGCGCCAGCCCCTGCGCCCCCATCGCAAAGCAAACCGCAGTAAGTACCATGCTATTGAAGCGTTCCTCATAGCTCGCATAATTAATAGGTCGCATCCTGAACCAGTGGATGAACCCATGACGTCAGATGTTGACGAAGGTAGTGGGTAAGTTGGGAAAGTGGGAGATTCTTTTGTTTGCTCATGCGTATCCATAAACTACTAGACAAAATTCTTACTTTGAGCAGTAGCTCTGATAGCCGCAGCTTTGTGGTGCTCAATGTACCCTTTGATTCAACGGGATTGACGCCTGAAAGCACGCTCGCACCTGCGCGGTCTGCGTCTCTCTCACGAGCCGTGCTCTCTGATCATTTCCTAGCCTTGATTAGGCGAAGCCGCGCCTTCCAGCCGTCAATGCCTTTAAATTAGAGGGTAATGGTATGCAGGGCTTATCAAATGCAGTGTCGGGTGCACCAGCCTCTCCGCTCTCGCTCGGCCGCTTCGCGTGGACTCTGCATCTCTTCGCGGAATGCTCTCTGCCCACTTCCCATTAACGTCGGAAAGTCGAAGTCAATCGACTGGACATGATTAGAGAGATGTTAGCGGAAGAGGTGTAGAGTCCCGCGCGGGAGTGGAGACACTGGTGCACCCGACACTGCATTTGATGGCTCTTGTGTATACGACGACTTTAGGCTTGCCGCAGCGTGGACAAATTGCTGTTAATCGGCAAGTATGGATTTGATACAGCGTTGTATCAAAAGCTATTGGCTTATAAAATATGCTCACCTCGAGCTAGCAGGACTTTTTTAGGCAGACGCTATACTCCTTGCTTGTACTTGAGAAACAAGTCATTTCACAGTGTCCCCGCCATTTTGAAGCTGACTACTTTTTCACTTAAAAGCAGTGTCCGCGCAAAAAGTCGATCTTGGTATTTTTTGCTTACCTGAGCCTATTTGCTATGCCGAATCCATCCATACTGGAGTGCGCGAAAAAGGCGAAAAAGGCCTCTAGCGCAGGAGGGAAGTCGCAGGTAGGTGGGGCCGTTCGCACTGTGACGTCACT